TTGGAAGGCTGCAACCTATCACTTGCTTTACCTGACTTTCTAAGCGAATAGAACTGCAGGGGTGTGGCCTCTGGCATTTGGCTTTGTGATGGCGCCTCCAGTGTTTTGAAGACCCCTCCTGCTTTTATGCAGCCCCGGTGTCTTTTTCTTTCTCCAGCTGTAGTCCTTCCCCACGTCTGTCTTCGGGTGGGTACAGCCCCAGCTCTTTCCATTGGGGACGATTTTGAATGGCCTGGCCATCCACCTTGTATAAGTCTTTGTGTGGACGCATGCTTTCATTTTCAATACCTGAGTGTGGGGTTGCTGACCTTACAAGAAATGTCTAACCTGATCTGAAACAGAGCTGTTCCCCTACCCTCCCCCCCACCATGTTCCCAGCAGGGAGTGGATGTGGCAGGCTGGGGGCAGGGAGCCAAGGAAGAAGTAGGCCTCCGCGCTCACCTGGAAGGGAGCCTGTGGTGCCTGCCTGCTCCTGGGTGATCGTGGAACTTCAGAGTGGCTGCCTGGGGCATTATGAACTAAATGTGGTTGTGGGTCCCCTGTTGGAGATGTCTCTACCACTGACATCTTCCCAGTCTGGCTCTGGGGCAGAGAGGGAGAGAGGGGAGGAAGAAAGGGGAGGAAGGGAGAGAAGGAGAGGGAGAGGGAGAGGGATAGGGGAGAGGGGGAAGGGAATGGCCTCCAGGCCTTATCCCCCACAACCACATCCGGCAATGGTTTCTTGAGCTCTTCTGGGCTCCAGGCTGGTGCAGGGCACTGCCAAGGACCCTGCCTGCCTCCTGGCACTTTCCATCTGGGGCTGTAAGTCTGGCTGAGCCCCAGGCTGCAGGAGAGCAGCAAGCAATGTGCTCTGGGGAGGAAAGGGCCTAGAACTGGAAATGCTCAGGGGCTAGGTGTAGGGAGGGCTGTCGGGGGAGGGCTGGGGGGAGCTTGAGTGCCATGCGGTGGGCCATGTGCCAGAGACCTTGTTCAGAGCTTCCTAGGAGCCTCCACCCCGTTCTCCCGACAGGCTGCCGCAAGGGTCAGGGTGATGGTTAGTCTGGCTGTAGGAATCAGGACACTGAGGCCTAGAGCAGTCATATTATTTGTTCTGGGTCACACTGCTGGGGGAGAGATGAAGCTGGGATTTGTTCGCAGGATGGGGTGGGGGGTGAACAGGCAGCAAGGAGCAGCCTGAAGCTCTGATTGGCTCTGTGGACATTTGGTGTGGCCAGGAGAATGTGGACCCATCTCTCACCACCAAAGGTCCCCTGTCTCCTCAAGGATCCTTCCAGGAATGAAGTTGGGCGTTTCGAGGCTCTCCTCTGCAGGGCTGGTGCCAAGTGGCTTCCTGAGCTGGCCAGATGGGCCAGCATGTGCTATACCTCTGTTAGCATTGCAACATCGCTGTTGGTGTCCTGCTAGATGACACCAAGTCTTCCGACAGGGATGAGAGATCTTGTTGGGCTGATGTTATGATACGATTGAAAGCTGCTGCAAAATTTACTTTTCCAAGTCTCACTGGCTGTCCGTGAACGAGTGAGTGAGCAAGTATCTGCAGACTGGAGCCAGAAACTTGGCCATCACCTCCTACAAGGCCCCCAGGAGCGCTGCCAGCTCATCGATTTTCAGACTTCAAACAAGAAGAGCTAGTCCCAGTGGAATTGCAGCCTACTATTTGGCTTGTCCAGAGGAAGTTCTGCCTGGCTTTCCTTGAAGGTCTCTCCTAGTTGCCAGCCTTTGCATTTTCCTTGGTGCCACAGGCTCTTCCTGAACCTTCCAGCTCTCCCTGGCCGGGGTAGGGTGGGGGTGGGGGTGCAGCTGATCAGGGAACCCAGGGAACCCACATACCTACAGCAGGGGAACAGACCAAGGAAACTGCAGACAAATGGGAATGGGCCATTTACAGCCTTATTTTGCCCTTTTTTCCCCCCTCACGTAAAAACATCAGTCACCCAGAGTGTTTGTTTGCTTGTTTTTAAAGGGAGGATCTTCTTGTGTAACCCAGATGACCTTAAACTCATTATGAAGCTCAGGCTGGCCTTGAACTTGCCTGCTCCACTCTGTGTGTGTGTGTGTGTGTGTGTGTGTATCAGTCCTGAGTTTGAACTCAGGGTCAAGGCACTGTTCATGAGTTTCTTGTATTCCAAGCTATCACCACTTGTGTCTATACTTTTGGCTTTTCTGGTAAGTAATTGGAGGTAAGAATCTCACAAAATTTCCTGACCAGGCTGGCTTTGAATCTGGACTCTCAGATCTTAGCCTCCTGAGTAGCTAGGATTACAGATATGAGCCCTGGGACCTGGCCTTGGAGTAGTTGGTGACTCCCTTCCTGCCCTTTTATTTCCCACCCTTCCCTCCATTCTCTGTCTGTCTGTCTGAGTTCTTTGGTTCCTCTTTTTCTTTTGGTGCTGAGGTTGGAATGGGGACCCCACCCCCCCAGCCCCAGGCTGATTTTTCTCTGGTAATCAATGATATACTGAAGCTCCTGGATGGCCTGGGTTTGAACCCCAGCCCAGCTGCTCACCAAGGAATGACTGTTGGCAAGCAAGTCACTTAATTTCTCTGTGACTCCAGCTTCCCCTTTGTCAATGGGGACTGGGGTAGTGCTCACCTCCCGGAGCTGTTCCACTGGCCTGCACCAAGCTTATAGTTAAGTGGTACGTGAAGGTGTGTTAAAAAGCCAGGTGCCGGTGGCTCACTCCTGTCATCCTAGCTACTCAGGAGGCTGAGTCTGAGGATCACGGTTCAAAGCCAAACTGAGCAGGAAAGTCTGTGAGACTCTTATCTCCAATAAACCACCAGAAAACCAGAAGTGGTGTGGCTCAGGCAGTAAAGTGCTAACCTTGAGCTGAAGAACTCTGGGACAGCATCCAGGCCCAGAGTTCAAGCCCCACAACTGACAAAAATAAAAAAATAAAAATAAAAAGGTGTATTAAACAAAATAAAAACCAGGTGCAGTGGTGTAGAGCTTCAGGCCTGCAGCCCAGCCCCAGCCCAGCTCAGGGCAACTCATCTAAAAATACAGTGCATGCATAAATGCGAAAGGCTCTTGTGCCCACAGCATGCCAGGCTTGTGAATGACTGTTGGACTCTGCAGGGAGGGGCCAGAGCCTCCCCCCCCCCAACCCCTCGCAGTGGCCCTTGGCTTCCTCAAAGCCTTCTGGGTTCAAACCTCAGCCCTGGAGCCACTTCCTCCATTTGATGACCTGCCCCTTTGCCTTAGTCCAAGAGCTGTGTGGGCAATGGCACGGCACAGGTGTCTGGAGAATGTTCCTTTCTTTTGGTGAGACAGTGTCTTGCTGTGGAGCAGAACCTGTCCTGAAACTCCTATCTTCCTGTCTCTGCCTCCTGAGTGTGGGGTTACTGGTATGCCCAGCCCTACGCACTCCCGCAGCTCAGGGAGGAACCTCACACACACCGGGAGAAACAGCGACGTCGATGAGAGACTCAGCCTTCTTTTCTCCTTCAGCCTCAGCTTCCTCACTCTAAATGGGTGTGATCACACTGCACCAACAGGAGAAGCAAGCCGTCTGGCCGCTGGCCCTCTTGGTCCTAATGACCTGGCGCTCTGCTGGTGGCCCCTAGGTCAGCACCCACCGGGCGGCAGTGGCCCTGGTGTGTCTTGGCCGGTGTTTGGCTTTCCTATGGGCTTCTGGAGGGAGGTCAGGTTGAAGCCCCGAGCGGCGGGCCTCGGTGAGGGCACTAGCTGTGAAGAAGGGTCGCATCTGGAGTTCTGGCCGCGCTCCAGGCTGGCGGAGGCCTGGCCGGGTGCGGCTCGCGGCTCTCAGAGGTGGAAGCGTTCCTAGGCTGACACACACGGATGGAGCTGGCTGGGGAAGGGCTGAGCCGGAGACGGGCCAGCTGGGTTTCTGGAGGACCTCCTGGCGGAGGTGACCCATGCCCAGGCCCAGCCCGGATGCGCCTGTGGACGATGCTGAGGACCTGCTCCATCCGAGAAGGCAAGAAGAACGGCCCAAGCCCCATCCCCGTTTAAAAACAGTGCCATGGCACCTCCCAGGAACCGGGAGCCCCGGGCCCCGACGGTGCGAACCTGGGCTCTTCCCAGCAGCCCGACGATCGGCCACTGTGGTTACTCATTTTACAGATGGAGGAAGGCACAGAGAGACTGAGGAACTTGCCCCAAGTCACACAGCCAGGGTCAAGCCGGGCCGGGGCTGGCGCGTGTGCGCGCGCGTGTGCGCGTGTGTGATGGGGGTGCTTGGCTCTGGGGCCCCTTTCCCAGAGCAGGGAATCCAGGCCGGGAGACCGCGCGAGCACCGCAGTGCAGGGGGAGCAGCCCCGCCACAGCCCCAGGTGGGCAGGGGAGGGAGGGCGGGGTGTGGCGGTGGCCGTGGCCGGAGCTCGGGTCGGGGTCTCGGGCGCTGCCCGGCCGGCAGGAGGAGCCCGCGTCAGCCCCCTCCACCCCGCCTCCCCGGGGGCCCGGCCGCCCCGGCTCTGCCGCGAGGTGGGCGGCGCCACACGAGGCGCGCGCGCCGGGCCCGGCGAGCCCGGGCTCTTTGTGTGTCCGAGCCGGTGCGCGCGCGCGTGCGCGCATACGTGTGGCTGAGCGCGTGCGCGCGTGTGTGTGTGCGTGTGTGTGTGCGTGTGTGTGCGTGTGTGTGTGTGTGAGTGCTTCCCCGCGCCCGGGGGCGTGGCCGTCGCGCCCGGCCCCGCCCCCGCCGCCAGGCCCCGCCCCCGGCCCGCCCCCGGCCCGGCCGAGCTGGTATTTTTCCACCCAGCAGGATGGGTGATGCTGAGAGCCGCCTGCTCAGACAACAGACACGCGAGGTCAGGAAGAAGCCGCTTATAAATTACCGCTTCCTCCGCGCCGCCGCCGCCGCCGCCGCCGCCGCCAGCGCCGAGCTCCGGGCCGCGGCCGCGCCCCGCTGCCCGTGCCGAGCCCCGAGGACCGCGAGGACCGCGAGTCCCCGGGCGCCCCGAGGCCGCGCCGCGCCGCGCCGACAGCGAGGGCCAGCGCGGAGCGCAGCCCCCGCGGGCCGGACCCCGAGCGGGCGGGCAGCCCCCGGCCGGCCGATCCCGCCGCCGCCCCAGGTACCGAGCGCCGGCCCGGCCCGCGCGCCCCGCGCCCGGCCTCCCCCCGCCCGGGGTCGCCGTTCCCGGGGCGGGACCCGGCGTCATTGTTCCCGGCGGTGGAGGGGGCTCGGGCTCCCGGGGCTGCGGCAGGTGTGAGCGTGAGTGTGAGCGTGAGTGTGAGCGCCAGCCCCGCGGCGACCCGGGCGCGGCGTGCTCCGCGGCGTGCACACGTGCACACGTCCCGGGGCGCGCGCGGGGCTCGGGGGGCCCGGCGTGCACGGCTGCCGCACCTGAGCGGGCCGCCCGCCGCGGGGTCGCCGCGCCTCCCCGGCGCCGCGGCCGTGCGCCCCCCGCGCGCGCCCCGCGCCTCCCCGGCGCCGCGGCCGTGCGCCCCCCGCGCCTCCCTGGCGCGGGCCGCGGCGCCCGGGTCCGGGCCGTGGACAGCACGTGTCTCCCCGGGTCCCCGGCCCCCGGAGGCCGAGCGCCCAGGTGCCAGGGGCTGCACCTGGGACGGCGCCCCCGGTACCCGCAGGGCGGCGTGTGTGTGCGTGTGGCCGGCTGGCGGCCGTGCCAGCCCCGCGGGCCCGAGTCCGGGGACGCGGGGACCCCCGAGGGCCAGCCTGGGGGTGACGGGCGGTGGGCAGGGCCCGGGAGACGCGTCTTCCTGCGGGCTGCTCCCCTTCCTCGTTCGGGTTCCTCTTTGGGGCCGGCGCCCTGGTCTCCCCCCTCCGGCCCAGCCCCGGAGGGGATCGCGGGCTCCGCCTCCGGGAGCCCCGAGACGCAGCCCGGCCGCCCGGCCTCGGGTGCTCCGAGAGAGGCGTGTGCTGGGCACGGCCACCGGCCCGGCTATTTTGGTCCCCGCCGAGCCTCTGCCAGACCCTGGCCTCCCCCAGGGCCAGCCCGAGCCCCGGGAAGGCGCCGGGGCCGCTTCCTGCCGCGGGACGTACAGCGGCCCGCCGAGCTCCCCGGACGCTGATCCGGGGGCTCCTGGGGCCTCTGATGTGCGCGGCCGACACCGGAATCCGTGTGACCCGAGGTCTCCGCTGCAATTGAATTAGTCTCCGTGCGGTGGCTGCGAGGGAGGAGCTGGTCCCGAGTCTCCTAGCCAGAAGGAGTTTATTTTTATGAGCGAGCTGTGAGCGCTTAGCAACAGCCTCGTCCTCCACCGGGGACCCGTGCCGGGGTGCGGGGTGGCCCCAGGCCCGGGCCCGGGTTTAATCACGACGGTGTCGGGGGTGCGGGGCTAGAAGGGGCCTCCTACCACCTGCCGAGAATCCACAGAGCGGCAGGGCGGCCAGAGAGGTTCTTAGGCCTGGCTCAGCCTTCAGCTGACCTTGGGTATTAGTTCCCGGCCTCAGTCTCCCCATCTGTAAAATGGGTAAGGCGTCCTGGCGGCCCGTTGGGCTGGTACCCTTGGGGCCAGGAGCCAGGGGAGCTGAGTGCACCCTGTCTTCATGGTGACCTTGGGTGATTTCTCTTGGAGCCCCGGGCTGTCCGGGCAGAAGAGACACAGGACCAGCCTCCCGGCGACCTTGAGGGGTTGAGGGAGATGAGGCTGAATAAGCTTGCGGTAAGCTGTAAAGCCGGGTTGGGCTTCAGAGCTGCCGATTAGAGTGTCACGAGGTCCCAGGTCACAGTGGTATGTGGCAAGGGCCTCCGCGCAGCCCGAGCCTTTGTCCCCTGGGGACACCCTTGTACTGCCCGTGGCACACCCACAGCCTGCCTCCTGCCGAAGCCCCCTCCCCTGCCACTGCACCTCACCTCCTCTGCCCAGCCCATGCTGCCTGCACCACCCCTGCTTGGCAGGGCCTGGTCGCAGATGGACCGGTTGAGAGCCACCTAGAAGACGGCCCTGGATTGGACAGTGACAGGATTAGGCTTCAGAAAGCCTGCACTGCACATGGCCAGCCGTGAGTTTTGGCTCCATGGGGCTTCTGTCATGATTTCCCAGGGAGCTGAAGAGCCTCTGGGGGCCGGAGACGATGAGGGCCAAAGGTGAGGCTTGGGGTGAGTTAAAGGGATCCATTGGTGCCTCCGTTTTTGTTTTTTTTTCTGGGAGCTGTTCCTTAGTGGATGTCAGCCCCCTCGTCCCCCGTCCCCCCACCCTCCCCAGCTGGAGGAGCTACTGTGGGCTCTGGACTCCCTGTTTTCTACCCCCCCCCCTTGTCTGTCCATCAAGGAATTTGGGGACTGTGGTTCTCTGAGAGTTTCCAAAGGTCCCCAATGATAAGACACTTGGGAGTCACCGAGCACATTCCTGGGCACAGGAAAGAGCTGCGAAGTGAGCTACAGAGACAACCTGGCACGCTGCTGGCCACGGCCGGAGGCAGCCGGCGGATCCCCGCTGCGGCGGACGGACTTGAGCGGGGCGCAGGTTCTTCGGGTCTGCCCCTCACTTGTTGGTGTTTGCCCACCTTCCGAGCGCAGGCCGTTGGTTTTTTGCATTCATGGCTGTGGGTGGATCTGGAAAGACCCGGCATGGCTCAGGGGAAAAGGGAGGTCCATTTTTAATGTGCTGTACGCTGTTGGTTGATAAACATTGGCTCTGGTCAGGTTAGAGATACAGGATACATTGTTGGCTTTCCAGATGTTCACACCTCTCAGAGGGAGGAGCAGTTGCAGTGACCTTCACCATGCATGGTATCCTGAAGAAGACTGGAGGGGGGGGGAGGAGAGAGGGGGCAGAAGAATGTGCTTCAGCCTCTTAGTGGAGGTGACATCTGAGCTGCCTCCTCTCTCCTTGTAGAAACAGGGTGGACTGGCACTCGGGGTAGGGCGTAGCAGGTGCAAAGGCACAGTGGCACGGAAGAATCAAGCATTTTTTTTTTTTGTAGAACCTGTCCCCAGGGTCCCAACTGGAGAGAGGACCAGGAGCCAGGGTTGGATTTAGCAGGACCAGGTGGAAGGGCCTTGGGTGCTGGGCACATGGACTTTATCAGGAGGACAGCATAGAAAGAGGCTCTCGTGGGCTTTGGGGACAGCAGGGCAGAAGCCAGTCAAGCCTGAAGCCTAAGAGACTCCTGGTGGTGAGTGAGGAATGAGGTTCGGGTGCAAGAGGCAGGGGTGGTCAGGCCACAGTGGGGCCGCAGTTGGGCAGGGCACGGTGCTGTTTCTGTGCCAGTGAGTCTGGCCCCAAGCTCTTTGTGTAAACATGGGGTGAAGCCTGGACATGCTGCTTTAACAGGCACATGGGCCATTAACCTCCCTGGAGCATGCAGCCCAGGTGAGTTATGGACAGGCTGTGGGGTTCCCCTTTCCACCATGCCTGGGGCTGGTGCCAAGGCTGGGGGGCAGGGGCACGGGAGGCTTCCAAAAGCCAAACCGCTGTCCTCAACAGAACAAGGGGAGAATTATCTGGAGCAAGTTGTGGGGTGCCATGTGCCCTCCTGTCCAGGGTGGGGAACGTCTAGTCTGCAGGACACTCAAGGACCAAGCAGCCACTTGGTGCATGACAATAACAGGCAAGTATTCCTCTCCTCGGCAGCCAGTGGCCATCTGCCTGCATCGATCATTTTGTATGGTCCTCAACGATGTTACAAGTGTTTAAACGGTCCTTGGCAGGAACAGGGTGTCTCAGCTACTTGGGAGGCTTGAGGCTGGAGGAGGATTGATTGAGATTGATAGCTTGAGCCTAGGAATCAGAGACCGGCCTGCCCGACCTAGCAGGAGCCCATGCCCACAAAACAAACAAACGAAAACAATAAAAACCTGCCCAAACTGCCGGGTGCTGGAGTCTCCTGTCTGTAACCCAAGCTGTGCAAGAGGCTGAGATCTGAGGATATTGATTTGAAGCCTGACTGGACAGACCAATCTGAGAGACTTGTATTTCCAGTTAACCAGCAAAAAGCTAGAAGTGGAGCTGTGGCTCAAGTGGTAGAGCCCCAACAGATTACCAGGCCCAGCCAGGGCACCCAAAGTCAGAATGGTCACGAGGTGGAACGAGCTGGGTATCTCATCTGTATTTTAAGTTTTCTTCTCTGGTTATTTACTTATTTACTTCTTGCTGGTCATGGGACTTGAACTCAGGACTTAGGTGAGTTCTTTTGCTCAAGGCTAGCACTCTACCCTTTGAGCCACAGGACCACTTGCATTTTTTTGAGTGGATGATTGGAGATAATGGTCTGAGAGGGACTTTTCTGCCCAGGCTGGTTTGGAACCACATTCCTCAGCTCTCAGCCTTCTGAGTTGCTAGGATTCAGGTGTGAGCTACTAGTGTTTGGATATTTGTTTGTTTGTTTTGTTTACTTAGGACAGAGTCTCTCAGGCTGGGCTTAAACTTGTGAGCTCAAGTGATCCTCCCGTCTCAGCCTCTTCTGCATCACGAATATACTGGTTCCCTGAGATTTTTTTTCTTTTGTTCAAAAAAGCATTTTAAGTGACTCGGAGTATATCTTTGATCAGCAACCGAAGTAAAAATTAAGTCAAATTTAAATTGATGCCTAATACTCATGTATTGAAACGCAGAGGTTTCTAAACAGTTTAATGAATTTTCACAAATGTATATGCTATGCAGCCATCACCGATATCAGGCTAGGGAACCTTCCTACAGCCCCAAAAGAGTTGTCTTGTGTTCCTTCCCTCTCTCGCTCTCACTGGAGATTGAACCTAGAGTTTCACACCTGAGAGGCGAGTGCTCTCCCACTGAGCCACATCCACAGCCCTCTCCACCTCCTAAGATAACCGCTCTCGATTTCTGTCACCATGCGTGTGAACTCTGCATCTTGCACTACCCCTTGAGCCAGGCCCCCAGCCCTGCTTCGCGTCCTCCTGCCTGACATCTAGGCAGGATGGGGGCATGCACCAGCAGTTAGTAATTCCTCTCCTTGCGCAGCAGGGCTCCATCCTACAGACTTGGTCGCCTTCTTCTGTTTCCCTTTTTGAGATGTCAGTTACGCGATTACTTGCTCCTGGAAGAGCTAAGTGGAAGGATCCTGAGAAGCGGTTCATCTGTGAATAACTTTCATTTATAATGGCTCTGTTTTATTACTAGCTATGGCTGTTAGCGAGTTTGTAGATGA